TTTTTTTTTTTTTTTTTTTTTTTTTTTTTTTTTTTTTTGGTGAGAGAAATAAAATATGCTAACAACCGGTCGTAATTACTATTGATCAGAATCGGAGGGTGGGAGCGTGAGATCGTACGGTGACGAATCGTCGGAGGAAGCGATGAGAGTAACGCGTAGTATCATGATCGTGAAACCGCCCGGTTACCAGAGTGGATCGCCTCCGGTTTCTCCTGCCGGTTCGACTCCTCCGGTTTCTCCGTTTTCCGGTAAGGTGGTTATTTCTTTTTTACTCTTTTACTGTGTCAATAAACAAATATGCTTAGTTTAATTTCACAGTCCAGTAAGCGTAAAGGGTGCTCCAAAATTTTGGGTAGCAAATGTTTTGTCCTTTTGTGGTGGCATGATAAAGCAGTGTTTGGTGGGGGTAGTTATGAATTATGGTTTTTGATTATTAAATTGACGTGCACCATTTTATGTGGTTGTCCACGTATGTATAGTGATATATCATAAATGACCATTATAGAGTCCTATCCGTATTTCTGGGTTCAACTCAACCCAAGTGTCAATTACACAACAAGGCTAGCCAACTTGGTTATATTATATAATTATATAGCATGTAGCAGCCGGATAGTTTGGAATTTTGTGCGTGGAATTGGTCACTGTATACATGATGTATTGGGAGTTGAAAAAGGAAACAAAGTCTTGGTCTGGTTAAGGTTAACTCTTTTGTTGTGTGGTTGTAAAAGGTTGCACGCACTTACATTGTTTAGGACCACTAAGGATGATGGTTTTTGTTACTGATGTTGTGTTATGGGTGTGTTGGTTTTAGGAGGAAAAGATTCGTTTCGGTTTCGAAGAAGGTCGGCATCAGATGCGTACGAGAAGAGAGAGCAGAACTGATCAAGCACTTCTCCTCCTTTCGATGTGTGATAAATGAATCGCATGCATGCGTTTGCTCTCGGGATATGATGTAGCAACCTTTTGGGCTTAATTTGCTGTATTCATTTTTGTTTAGTCTTTTGTGTGCATGTATCAATGAGTTGAGGTTGTGCTGCAGTGCACGCGATATATGTAGCTTTTAGTTAAGTCTCTGCTTAGGTGAACTGCGTAGTGGTTGGGAAATTGTAAGTAAGAGAGTGTAATGGGTAGAGGAGCGGTGTATCTTATTATCTATCTGTATATTTACAATTAATAAGCCTTTACTGCGTTTGTTCATTCTGTTGGTGGTGTTCAAATTCAAATAAATAAAAAAGCTTGCTGAATCACAAGTTGGTAATTTCTACTACTTTTGAGTTTCAACTTCTGTGCTCGCTGCGAATATGTATGGAGGAGGGAGACCTAGAGAGTAATTTCGCATAATAACTACTAATTAACTATGGTCTAAGGAAACTTTTTAATTTGTCTTCAAGGATGCTTCAGAGCAAAAGACACTTGATAATGGGACAGCCGGCCTGTCCAAAATTATTGAATACGCTTGTCGGAAGATATTATTTCTTCGATTTAATCAACGAACAAAACTGACTAGAGAAGTTAAACTAAAAACAATTGATCTCCCACAAGTATATATAAGGTACATTTATAATGATATACTTCATTTTTTTTTATGACATAGGCACTTTTATTTTCATGAATGCAAAGGGAATGCGAAATAGTGAATAAATCCCGTTTGTTTAACTTTTGGGGTGTGTAGAATTAGAAACATTGATTGATCAGCAGATATGGATTGATTAGTGCAACTATGAATATTCTTTTACAAAACATTAAGTGAAATCCTCTATTTTGGGTTGGGTTGGTGGCAATGCTGAGTAGAGGAGAATCTGAATCTGAATCTGTCGAGCTGGAGTGGGAGCGGGGGACAATCACCAATATTCCAGCTACTCCTACAAAACTGCATAATTCAGAGTCCACACTCCACATCTTGTTGACTCTTTCTTTTCCCTCTTCACCCTGCACCCTTCTCCCCATTTTGTTTTTTTTTTGGGCCCACACCCTTCTCCTCTCTGTTTTTAATAATGCAACAAATTGACCATCCCTTTCACTCAGACTCAACTTTGGGCTACTGATTCTGATGGCCCAATTACTCTCATTGGACTTTACTCAACATTTTGCACCTTTCAATTTTTCCTAGTCATATCAATCATTATTTTCCTTCTAAAAAAGTTCATTCTTAGAATTTCGTATATTTATATTTGGGAAGTTTATTTCTAAAATATGCAATAAATAAACTTTCATAATTATAAATTTGAAAATATATAAACAGACTTCTGAAAGCTTAATTTCAAAATATGTTCTAGTATACTGTGTGTACTATATTTATGAAAAAAATTCCAAAATATGCAAATAACTATTTGGAAGTTCAGTTCTGAAAGAAAATGTGATTATACTAGAGATGATTGATGGTCTAGGTCGATAGTGTTCTCCAAAAAAGAAAAAAAGTATTAGAGACATTTTTTGGAAAAAAAGACAAAAAAAAAAAAAACAGAAAGGTGAAGGGGTTAGCAAAATGTGGTGATGCAAATAATAATCTCCCTCTAGTTGTACTTATCTTTAATTTCGCATCCTGTTCGATTTGAGGGCAGACCCGACCAGTTGGACACAGAACAAGAAGTGTTCCTGCTTTTGCTCATATCAACGCCTTTTTTTTTGTCTTTAACTTCCATTTCATTGATTTGCAAATCTTATCCATTATCCGTGCTTGTCCTTCTATCTTAGACTCAACTGTATCTTTAGCTTATTGTGAATACGTGATTTTGGCCCTTATATTTCAGTGGACCCATTTACATTTTTTAGATTCTTTTTATTTCTTTAGCTTAATTTCATCTGATATTTAATCAACTAATATATTTGGAATTTTTTTTATTTCCACTTATATCATCAAAATAATAATTTATCTACAAAACGTCACCAAAATTATCAATTTAATATAGTCAAAATATTTTAGGTTTTTAACTTTTAAGCGGTTTACTGAACTTACTTACGACCAAGTCATGCCTAAGTTGTTACATGAACTAATTCTGTTCAATATAGAATGCAGTTAGGGCCAATAGATCTAACTATAAATAATACAAAATTTGAGGGATCCAATCCGCATAATTAAAATTTAGGAAACTAAACCAAAAATACAATTGAGCCAACACCAAGCTAGCAGCTATAAAGCGAACTGCAAGGAAACTGAAAGATAAAATGGGGAAGCAACTGAGCAATGACATTAGGCAAAAATATACAAGATAAGTGTTCCCTTGTGTGAACATAGTTGGTAATTGGTATTAGTGACTTGTAATTAAGACTAAGTTATGCTGTTTTATTTTCTTTTTTAATTTTTCCACACCTTTGTTACATAACATAATTCTCTACCTCCCATCAATCAAATCTCGTGTCCCAAATTCTTGAGCGTTGAAGTCAACCACAAAACTCCCTAAGAACTGTGATTTGAAGTAAAGGAACTAAAGTTGTTCTTAATTTCTTATCGTGTTGCTTGTTTTCATCGTTTACTTGACATCACATCAAATGATCCTATTCAAATTACAAACACAACTTAATTAGCAAATTCAACCAAAACCGTCAGCATTCAGCAACATTAAGTTTCCATTTATGACCTGAATTCTTTACTTTTATGCGAGATCAGACAGATGAACAAGAAAAGGACAGGGAGTTAAGCAGAACTAAATAATGAGAATTTAAGATGCAGAGCAGAACCGTCCAAGAAAAGGGAATAAGTTTCGCACAATTCAGCTATTCGCCACGGGTTGGTTAGAAAATTAACACTTGTTTTTAGTTTTCTAATGAGAGAACCAAGGAATAATGATCGATGTTTAAAATTCTGATTCAAAACATGGTAACCTTGTCATCATATCATATGAGACTACCAACATAGTGAAACGACTAGTTATTGTCCAATGGAAAGTTCGAAGACTAGTCATATAAATGATTACGCTATCAGTGGCGGTAGCAACAGGTTAAGCCTCAGGAACAGGTGTCTACCAAAAACAACATTCCAGAACAGTCATTCAGATAAATGGCACAGAAATTTACGCATTTGGTAACATGAAATCTCTTTGCACTCACAAATTACATGCTAATTTGCCAAACACAAGCAACCAACTGGTGTATAAAGCAGTAATCTCTGCTCCTGCACAAAAGAATGCTTGGTAGTAAAGTTTACAATATAGCATCATTGGCAATCTGCAATGTAAAGTAGAAGGAAGGCTCTCCCATGCCAAACTCCTACTTCACAATTTCCACTCCGTACGTACAAGTTGAGTTAGCTGCATTGGATTCCTATTTGAACCGAAAATCTTTGCCAAATACTATATCTTTCCAAGTTTGGGTGGCTGCACAAAAAGTTACGTAAGATACTAATATACACAAATGTGGAATTGTTTTTTTCAAAGGAACATACACAATATGACGATATTTACCTTCTTAAAATTCATTTTCGATGAACTACCAGATGCTCTATCAGCGGGTTTCAATATTTCAAAGGAACATACAAGAGAATCATCAACGCTTAACAATGCACCAGCATTGTCAAATTCCCCACCATAATTTGGAGCAGAAAATATTGTGACTAATCTTCTTTTAGCAAAAAACTCATATCCATCCTCCACAACCTATTAAAAAATAGGAAAGTAAAATGGGGCCTTAATTATTAGAAGTTGGAAGAAGTAACACAAAAGAAGGCATAAATGAAAGCAAGGAGGATGAATGCCTGAATAGGGTTGGACAAAGCTTGATCTAGGCACAATATGCATGTCAGATACGGTAAGTGTACACAAACTTTAGTCATTTAATGAATAAAAGAAGTATGAAGTAAATGCTAAATGTCCTAATTACATCAAAAGTTCATCAATTGTAAATGAACCAATTTGATTTACAGATGTCCATTGATAATTAAGACGAGTGTAACCTTTATAACTTTTTGAATGAACTTTTCCAATTAAAAGGTTGCTATTGTTTTTACGAGATAAAATAACATATTTTCTTCCTTTATGGACTCACAATCAATTAATATAGTTGTTTCCAAAGAAGTTGACAAATGCAGGAAGATAATAAGAGTCTACAAGTGTGGTGTCTTCCAAAGTTTCATCAAACAAATAGAACCATTCTTATAAGAATAGCACAAACATGTATTACCAAATTCTATTCTACAACCTATTCAATAAGCAAATATGAAATGAGAGGTTTACCTGATGCCCTCTACAAACAAGATCAAGGTCATTTTTATCCAAGAAATCTGCAAGTACATCAGGTCCAAAAGTACATGAAACGCCTCGGTCACTCTCTGCCCAACCCTCAATGTTAGAATCAGGATCTGACCAAAGTAGATCACATAGGAGACCACTATCTGGAATTTCAGTAGGCCTTTGAATCTCCCTTATCTGATCTAAATTTTCTAATTCCGGAGAGAGTCCCCCGTGCATACAAAGTATTTTCTCATCAATGAGTGCAGCTACCGGCAAACAGTTAAAGCAGTCGGTAAATATCTTCCATAGCCTTACATTGAACCTCCTTTTACATTCATCATAAAAACCGTAAATTCGGTTTATCTTTGCTTCTTCGTGGTTTCCCCTCAAGAGATAAATTTTGTCTGGATATCTTATTTTGTAAGCCAAAAGCAAACATATTGTCTCCAAACTTTGCTTCCCTCTATCTACATAATCCCCCAGAAACAAGTAGTTTGCCGCAGGAGGGTAGCCACCATATTCAAAAAGCCTCAGCAAGTCTTGGTACTGACCATGTATATCACCTACAAGAAAACCAAGAGATAAGGAACAAGGGATTGAAGATGGAACAATTGCATAGTAATTTGCATATTTTACTTTAAAACGAGGAAGTCAAAGTGATTTTTTTATTTATTTATAGAAATTACCATGATTGCAACAAAATTTAAATCTAAAACTCTATGTATACTATCCCAATCTTCTACAACTAGAGTTTTGGAAGTCAAAAGTGCCTTTAATGACAAAGATTGAGAATTGTAATAAAATAAAAAAATAACATATATATAGAAATTTAAAGTTAATTATAATCTCAATCATTGATTTTCTAAACAATGATTATTATTGTCCTTTATCTTCTAGAGCACACCTCCGAAAAATCCCTTATTTACACTAAATTGCAAGTTATATCACACGATTCTTGTGAATAAATCGAAAAACTTGTAGGAGATTATTTTCACCAAAATATCAAAGATAGAAGGAAAAATGCATTCAGAAGAAATGCATCAAAGTTTAAAACATGACGCATGAATCCAAATTACAACTGCAGCAAGCAAACAATGTGTCTGCTTGGTTCCGCATTAGAACAGAAAAAACGGGGATCAAAAAGTGAAAACTTGAAGCTATGGACACGAAAATTGGAAGTAAATTTTGCTTGACTTGATGGGAACCAAACATGCTGAATTTTGATCAAATATCACTTTTTGTTTTCATTTTTTCCCATAAGCATCCTTATTGCAATCCTATTTGAGGCATGTCGGTACAAAATATTTAAACATTTAATAATTCGTTGAACAAACAGGGCAAACATCATGGTATCATTGTCTTCTTTGATTAAAAGCGAGAGTTGTATTCTATTCAAATAAAACCAGACAAAAATCTAAATTGTCCTGCAGATTTTTAATACATATATGTAATTAAAACAATTTCCTCCTTTTCAAAAAAGAAAAAAGAAAAAACCCATCTTCCGATCATCTAAATAGGCAAAAGAAGGAAGCAAATAATAAGAAGAAAAGGAAATGACATGGATGAGATTTGGCATAAGGATTTGTTAAAAGGGTGTAAACTAACCGCAGATTCGGATGGGGGCACGGAGGTCAAGAAGAATTGGCTGAGAGAGGAAGATTTGTCTGGCATTGACGCAGAGTTGACGAATCTCCGACTCAGAAAGCTGAACCTGTTTTCCTCCTTTGCCTTCAAGAAGCCTCCTTATCACATCATCCAACACCCCCTTGTCCATCATCCCCTCCATTGTCATCATCATCATAAAAATAAAAATTAACAACAAAAACAACAACCCTTTTCGATGGATATGGGAGGAAGAAGATAAATAAAGAAAAATTAGTTGCGGGATGGGAAATTTTGGATAGATGGACAAGATGGCCCAACCATAATACACAACAAACACACACAGGTTTTATATCTTCTTCCTCTTCTAAAATCAACCATTGCCCTTTCTTTCTTTTATTATTATTATTATTATTATTATTTTGGGATTGAGGTGGGTAGGTTCAACTTCAACTCTTTTTTTTTTTTTTTTTTCCAATCTAAAAATCGGTGCCAGGTGACTCTTTATTCGGTTGAAACCTTCAACGGAGGGGACCAAATGGCGCGTAAGAATATCATCCTCTTGTCAACTCACCATCTGCCACGTGGACACCATTCGTTGGTTGTCTCTCTCTTGGTCAAATTTCGGATCCAACCATGTCTTTGGACTTCGATCGCCGTTACACGCCCTATGCTTATAACCGTTACTTTCTTTTATTATATTCTTTAATTTTTTTCTTTTTATTTGAAATATCGACGGTAACTTCAGTTGCATGCAATCTAATTGCAGACTATTTCAATATTTGTTTAAAATTATACTTTAAAAAATACACTTGTCAATGTAAAAAAGTAAAAAATATGTGAGCATAATTTTTTTTTTCAACTTTGGTTGAATTTTCAAACACATCCTTATTCACCTTGACACGCGTTTTTATTTTTATTTTTTTACAGAATACTAATAGCTATTAATCGTTCTCATAAGCTCCGGCTGCTTTTGGATTACGGTGACAATGATGCATATTTTATGGTTAACTAGTTAGAATTGTTGAATTTTCCAACTATTTATTTTATTGTTTTAGTTTATCTCCCCCTCATTCACCCAACTTCTCTTTGCGTTCTATTCAATCTGCTCACGGCTTCAAGTGGGGCGAATTTTTTCAAAAGAGAGGGTTTTCATTGATTGATTTTGAATAAAAGAAACCATCAAACTTATTAATAGAAAAGCATTACAGTTTTGTTCAAACCGAATATCTTTCTAAAACAAATCAATTCACTGCAGTTTGAGTTAGATTTGAATCACTACGTTTTTTTACTCACATATTCTTACATTTTTATTAGTTAAATATATTTTTAATTCTTTAACTAATTAAAAAATCATTTTAGTTCATCATTTAAAAAAAAATATATTTTAGTGCTTTAATTTTTTATACTTTCAATATAAAGGATATTATTATTATTATTATTATTATTATCTAGAGTAATGGTGTCAAAAAAATTATCTAGAACAAAAATATTTAGGATTACTTTTCAATGAGATTTTTTTGGAGATAAGTACAAGATTAGTTGGAGGACTATTCCAATAAGAATGATATGATTCAAACTTATAATATTGTTCACATTACTTCAATGCTTTATATGACTAAATTAAATTTATTGATTCAAATTATAATTTATTTTTTGGTATAGTTCGAGAATAAAAAAGACAATACAACAATTACAAAACAATAAAATTCACTCTCACTACATCAACTAAGAGAGAAGAGTTGATGCCCTTTTCAAAATGTGATCAACATGAATATATGTTTGGTCCTTTTAAAAATAATTATGTTCTTTTTATTTGAAATCACACTTGCTCTGATTTGTGTTGCTTGGCTTGATTTTCAGAAAGTACTTGACTAGATGAATCTTTGATCAATTAACATCTCTTTTCCTTTTAATTGACCACTTTATAAAGTGCAGCATTAAAAGTTCTTAAACCAAGAGTATGACGTATCCTTGTTACATTCTCAGGAAGGAAACAATCGTAATGGTCCTGTGTTTGTCACGTATATAGTTAGTTCCCCCTCAACCTATCCTTAAATTTTTAAATGAGCCTAACCATGTCAACCTTCTTATCTTCTTTATGCTTTGATTTAGCGTTAGTCGTTAGTCCTTACATTTTAATTGCACTACAAACCAAAAAAAGCTTAATAATTATAGAATCATATTCATATGGGTTGTTAGCCCTACTCGTACACGTTTTCGGAGGAAAAGAAAATGAAATGCATGCTCATTTGCAATTGTAATATGAATAAATCACGTTGTTGATAACTAAGTGATAACGAGATTAATAAGCCACGTGAAGTGCGAGTGTTAGGTGTGAGTGTTTAAAACTTGATCTTCCTGATCTTCCACTCCAATTTGGATGTCAACATCCTCATGCTTAGGCTTAGCACTGCAAAAAGTGGAGGGTAAATTGTTTGGTCCAAAAGAGAGTGTTTTGAGGATCCTTCGAAACGTGTTTTCGCGATTGAGCACTGGCTTTGGAAGGCTTTTGACCCTTTTAAGGACAACTTCAATAGCCTCATCATTTAGCTTAGCATCTTCGGAGTTGTGTACTTCCATTTTCATCACATTTAACATGTCTCCTTTCTCCAGGTCCAGGCTCACACTGGGCACCTTTGTGGAATTCGACTTCTTCTTGTAAATTGCATAGATTGTGAGTTGGGTTGAACCTAATATCAGTCCAATCAAATTCGGTATCTGCAATCAAATTGTCCACAAGTTCAAATTAGCAAAAATGACACATTTACAACAATTTGTGCAACAAAATTATAGAAAGAAAATAAAAAGAGTGTAATTTAAAATACAATAAATAATGTGATAAAGAGAGAAAAAATAATAATATTGTATAAATTATTATAAGTATATGATTACTTTATTAGAAATAAAATTATGATACACGTACACCCACTTTATAATAAAACAATTTATTGAACGTTTTTTTTTGTTTTTTATCTATCTCAATTCACCTTATTATATATGTGATTAAGTGTTGTAATTTTCTCTGGTCATAACGAAAAAGTTGCATCACATGTTGCGTTCTCTTATTGTATCTTGTTCCTTTTTCAAAGCTTATGTCATTTCCCAATTCCATGAGTTTTTGTTGGCAAGATACAATTGTGCTTTATATGAGAACACAACACACATAATAACTTATCCAATCGAATTCCAACGAGTAAGACACGACTTTAGGATGCATCATTTTACAAATTAAATTGCGCGTTGCGTTACTTACACCTTAATTGACCTAGCAAGGTAAATAAAATATTTAAGGTCCCTCGCGAGCATATGGCACACGTACACAAACAAAAAAGACAGATTAATTGAGAACTACTATACATTATTATAATTCGATAAATGATTAATAAATGTTATCGTGAAAAAACGTCCAAGTGTAACCTACTCTTTCTTTTTCATAGTGATAAAATCTGTTCTTTTTAGTCACTCGAGGAGACACACATTTACTTACTTTAGCCGCAATTTTAATTCTATCAATTAAATATTTTGATATTCATATTTAGTTGTTATTTTGGGTGCAGAGATATTCAAGACATAGTAATTAAGACAAAATGAATGGAAGATAGGTTTTGTAATAACTGAGTAATTAAGGGGTAAAGTGAAGGAAATGAATTAACATACTCCAATGAAGAAATCTTTGACGAGGAAAGAGTACAATGCCCAAACACCAGCATTCAGAAACATGAAAAACGACAACAGAAACGGCATGTATTCCACGCTTTTTGTCTGTATCACCGTTTTCTGTCACACATCATAGTTGGAAGAGAAAAAAAAAATAAGTTCGATATTAGTCTCTATGCATATAACAACCCTTTTATAATTTAATAAACAAAACTAAATTTTTATAAATAGATATGAAAAAAATAAATAAAATACAAGAGCAATATGATATATTAATTTCATAAAATGCACCGGTAGTCCATAGTTTATATAAAATATTAATGGAATCAGCGGGTAAATCTTATTGTTATCACTGTATATTCCTACTTCTAAAGAAAATAATAATGAATGAAAGACACTTACCATGACTAATAGTGGCGAAGCATACATGATTATAGTTAAACCAGAGCATAACATTCCTAGAGCAGTAAGCTGGATCGTTCCATGAAGAGCGAAAAGAATCACTGAAATAACTGTCCCAAGAAAACCCACGTCCAAAATAGCCACTGACAGTGCCGTCTTAACCTATATACACAGCAGCACCCAACAAGTACTAATTAAGTAATTAAGCAAGAATAGAAATAACATAAATAATAAATTAGCACCATGTTAAGAAATTAAATTAAAGAAACTAGCTTTGTTATAATTTATTTAATGACCTTCTGATCTTGAGGTGAATATACGAGGAACAGAAGTATGTAGATGCAATGAAAGATGGCACCGGCACCATTTACTATAGCTATTTGGAAACCACCAGGCTTAAGAACTCCATAAGAAGTCCACAAACTTGTGCACAAGAACGTCGTTATATATGGAGCTCCCTTGTAATTCTCTGTTGATTTCTTCTTTACCACTTTGTAAAAGGTCTTGCTTTTGATTTTCAAAAAAATAAAATAATAGTTAATAAAAAAACATATATAAAAATCTCATAATAGTCGTAATTGCATTATATTAAACCAATGAGGGTAGTACAGCTATTATGCTATGAGAGTTGTCATTAGTATAAATATATTATAAGATGGCATTGTACACATACATGGGAGAGGCAAACACTAGAAGGGATAATACAGTGCCTGCAAAACAGATCAAAATTGCAAGAAAAAAAATCGTTAATTGAAGATCTAATGATCAGCTGAAGCTTAAGATAAACGGGTTAACAAAATAGAATAAATTAAAATCTGGAAAAAAAAAGGTGTAAATATATGGACTTGCCAATGATGCCAACTGCAAAAATCAAGCTAGCCATGGGAGAATTCGACATTGGTGAGGTGAAGAATGGGTATGAAATATTAAGCTCGGATTAATGTAGTTTCAATTAATCTTGGCTGTGAAATCTTTGTGCATGTCCAGCTTATTTATATCCATCGGAGGCAATTTTTATATTAAAAATAAATACATGCACGATCACCAATATCTATTTGGACAAGGACAAGCATCTTTGATCAATGTAGTTAACATATATGAATATTTGATATCAATCTGTCTTCCTTTTAATGCAGATGATATGAAGCTAAAGGTGATAATGAATTGAAATTGATATTGGTGCATGCTAGCTAGCTGGTCAAAAAAGATATATTTCATTGGCTGCCTTGAGCATTCACTCCCAACAATTAGAAAAAATTAAATTAATTTCTGATACGATTCTCTGGTGGACAAAGACTGCCTGCAAATTCATACCAACTAGTTTGGCTAGATTTTTTTCCTTTTTTTTTTTTCAAGTGTGTAGCAGAGAAGGGACAGTTGGGTTAGATACTGATGTGAAGGATTAGTTGATGTTTTATCCTTCGCCTCTCAATAAAACTTTCCCTCATTTTATAAATAATTCTCATTTAAAATTTTACACAGGTAATGAAAACTTATTAAATAATATTATTAAAGCTCAATGCATAAATTGATCCATGAATATGATTTTTTAAATAGGTCTATAAATTATACAAATTTTTAATTTTAACAAATTTTTATAATAAGGTCTTTGAAATTAATGATTTGTTTATAGGTTATAAACTTTTGTAAGGCACCTAACTATAAAAACCGGAAAAGATTAGAGATATAGTTAAATATATATATATATATATATATATATATATATATATTTATATATATATTATTTATTTTTTTTAATATGAAAATTAATTTGGTGTGCTATTTTTTTTAATTTTCAAATGAAAATAATAATATTTTTAAAATAATTTAACATTAAAAAAATGTAATTTTTAAATTTATACTTCTAAAATTTAGAGTTATTAAAATTGATTTGACATGATAGTTTAATAGGTCAAACTAAATCATGTTAGTCTTATTTTGAGATTCGAAAAGAATAAAAATCAATTTGATTTGTCTTAATGATAAAAGAGATTAGACTAGATTGTAAATATGTTAGTCTAAAATTTATTTAGTTTATATGATGAGTGTTTTTTCTCTTATAAAATATATAATTTGTAAAAGAAATATAATGGGTTAATTTGGAAAATAAAATGTGCACAATATTAAAGACAACAAAAGGAAACATGAGCAAAAAGCTAAACGCGTAACTTAAAAATCTTACTTTGAAAATTGAAGTATGCTTAATTTTATGTTATGGCGATTACTAGATCTAAAAGGCAGGACAAGCTGTGATATTGTTGTTGGTTTATTTGTTCATAAATATAGTGCGTGATGCCAAGCAATAGTAACTTTAATGATTGAATATTTTGATTTGAAAAAGAAAAAGTATGTGAAGAGGCAGATGTTTGGCTCGTGGGGAGATTCATGTATTAGATTATCGAATAGAATATGTATCTTTGTTTGTTAAAATAAAAGTGAAACATAGGACTCTGAGTATCTCTTCCTTATCTCGCGTCATTTAATTTTAATTAGCTTTATAATTTAAGTAAACAAAGTAGTGGTGAATTTTAAAGGTTTAAATGTCTTTAATTATTTAAAATTAGATTAAATTTATCTTTAATCTCTCAAATTTAAAATTATTATTTTAAATTTCTATAATTTTTTAAAATTTTTATTTTAATCTCTTGATTTACTATTAATATATTTAATAGTAACAAATTAAAATAATTATATATCATCATGATTTAATGTGAAATTTTCATTAATAAAATATTAGTAGATAGATTTTATATGATAATATTTGATAAATTTTTCAACAAAATTTAAGTATAAGAATTAAAATAATTTTTTTAAAAAATTACAAGAACTAAAAAAACCATTTAAATTTGAGAGCTTAGAAATTTGTCTAAGTTATTTTAAAAATATGTCAAATAATTCCCCCATGTTATGTTACAACATTATAATTTATTAATTTTTATTTCAAATTGAAAGTATTAAATTGTGTTTATTTTAATATTGAAATAAAAATATAATAAAATAAATATGTAACAAAATTATTTGAACAATAGTTGTCGGGGGAAGCACATGATCGTGATTCATGTTTTGTAGTGATCCCTAACTATTTTGTTAGTCATCCATAGCATACGATTTATGGTTGTTTTGCAAAAAAATTATATAAAAAAAATGATTGTCAATCCACAAACAATGATTCAATAAATGTGATTTTGTGGTGAAAAATATGCATTGTGAATGGAGGGTCAAGAAATGGATTGTTATGGTCTCGCACAAATCCATAATTTACAGTTTTCCCCTTGTTTAAATACGCGTTTCTTTCTTCTTTTCTCTCGAATATTATATGAGATACGTTTGATTAATTGGATCCACAAAAATCTAATAAAGAATTACTGTTTAAATCAATACCCGAACTTTTTAGGCCACATCAATTACCTTTCAATGATGTTTTCTGATTACACCCTAAGTGCTTGTTGAAAAAGTAAAATACAAAAATACTGTGGACATGCTTTAATAATTACATTTGTAGTTTGCGATTTAGCTTTTGTCATCTGGAAAATGCATCTTGAATTTCATTTCTCTCCACTTACACTGTTAACATTTTTAAATCCTGCGGGTGCTTGTGCAAATTTTATTTCTCCTAAGAAACTCTTTTATATATAAGCTATAGAGAATGAAACTTTAGTCACAATAATTAAAGAAATCAACTGCTTACAATGCAAAATATATCAAACTTTTGTTGATCTTTTTAAAGCATTGATGTTATCTCAATGTGGTTTGATTTTGTTGGAATGTACAAATTTAACCAGTTTGTTGTGCAATTAATGGCGAGTTAATTGGAGAAATTGAAAACTTTATATTGAGGTAAAATTAAAACCAATACTATATAGTTATGTTTTGATGGGGTCTTATTCATTAGCCAAATGCTCCATAACTATGATGGGGTCTCATAGTGGTAAATATATCCCTCAATTTTTTTCTCCAATAAATGTTATTGTGTGGAGAAGGAGTTGTATTTATGCAAACAATTTTTAAAAACTTCTAATAGAGTGTTGGTGTTTGTTAAGTACTGAGATGTGTAAAATAATATTATTAATTTGATTGTTCTTTATGTTATTCCTTCCACCAGATTTTAGTTGAAGGTGAATAAAGTGGTGTATGGTAGTTGGGACTTCTCCAAATTTAAAAGTTTTATTGTTGATTGTATCCTTAGTAAAAATGTGGTTACAACTTTTCCAGAAAGACACATGTATAGAGAGTGTGATACTGTTATACTTAGAGGTAATCCATGGATTGTTAATTTTTGGACAACTTTTTAAACTTTTTTATAAGAATGTTATCCTGTAGTGATTGCAAAATGTACAGTTATTTTATATAATTATTGATGATTTCTAGAATATATTTTTTTGTACACTTTGCTAGTTGTTTAGAAAAAGCACTCTTTAAACCTAACTCTTGGATCTTTTTCCCTCTTGATAGCAAAATCACTCGCTTCCATTAAAGTTCCTTGCCCTTTGCGAGGATTTGAATTTTTAAATAAGATAACTGAAATTACACAATTTGTTAAATATTTATATATATTTTATGATTCGTGTTGTTTATTAGTTTTTTTTTTCTATATTCATTGAATTAAAAATAAAACATGATTAAAAAGTTATAATTGAAATAATTTATTTAAAAATATAAATTAAAAACTAATTTAATTTAAAATTTTCGTCTTCTCATTTTCCGGTTATATTTTAGATAAAAAAATCATTAAAATAAAATATTTAAAAAAGATAAAATATGCTGAGAAAAAACTATAACGGCCCTTTGGGTCGAATGTGAAAAGTACATTACACGAAATGGATATATAGTATTGGGCCTTTTGCTTAGCCTCAGTCCAAAAAATAATGAGAAGGCCCAGATCCATAGCTGAAAAACCCTAATACATAGCTTCATTCTAGTTACGGCGTCGAATTAGAGGCATAGCAACCATAGAAGCGTGTTGTTGCAAGAGCCAGAGCTGCAATGGTATGTGCCCTCTTCTTCGTCTCCATTGCGCTCCTTTGAACGCATCACTCATCAGTGGTAATCTTATATTTTTGTATGATACGCAGGGGATCGATCTTAAGGCTGGGGGTAAGAGCAAAAAGACCAAAAGAACAGCACCCAAGTCCAATGACATCTACCTCAAACTACTTGTCAAGGTTCTTCTTTTTTCACTATCTCCGTAACTTCATTTTTCGTACCCTAGATCCGTTGTGTGTTTTCAATTTTTCACGACGATGATGATAAATGTGATCCCAGCTCATTATGAGACCCTTCGCCTTTTGAAAGGTCCGGGAATATAACTTTTCCACATTTGTCTGAGCCTACACTCACACTTAACACGCTTTTGAAATAAAAAATTCATTTCAAGTTAGAACGGTGGTTGTATTAGCGAAAAACCCATGTTAAATAGTTTATTATGTGTGCTGCTCTTATAGTTTTACTTTTACTCTATGTGGAGTTGGTCCCTTTATTGCAATTTTGTCATTGCAATGGACTTGGGGTTCCCAGTGATGCTGTTTTTTAACCATGCTAATGCTGATTACATGTGATTAATACTTTCGTTATACTGAGGGAACTAGTTCTTTATTTATTGCCCTTTGTTGAATTTTAAGTTTTTTTAAGATTGCTCAAGCTTTTACTAGGCATGGAAATATTTGTTTCTTTGCCATGATTGAATTTGCATACAATTCACATGAATATTTTCTTATTAATTCTTTATTTAGATTATACAAATGCGTGGTATGTTTCTGATTAAATTGTTACTCGTTCAGCTCTATCGGTTCGTTGTTCGGAGGACTGGCAGCCGTTTTAGTGCTGTGATACTCAAGCGCTTGTTTATGAGCAAGGTTAACAAGCCTCCAATTTCGTTGTCAAGGTTGATCAAGTATACAAAGGGGAAGGTATGTCTCTTTCTGTCACAATCTTTGCTGTAAGTCTGTACTGGTGCCTAATTCTTCGGTAGTTTGGTTAATGGTTGTTTAATCCGATGTTATGATTTTTCCTAATGTAGGAAGATAAAATTGCTGTTATAGTGGGGACTGTAACTGATGATATCAGGGTATATGAAGTTCCAGCATTGAAAATTACAGCACTCAGGTTTACTAAAAGAGCGCGGGCTAGAATTGAAAAGGCTGGCGGTGAATGCTTGACATTTGAGCAGCTTGCCCTAAGGGCTCCTTTGGGTCAGAATACGGTATGGGTGGATTATCATTGTTGGCCTTTGTCATTTGTTGAGTGAATTGCTAAAAATCTTACTCTTGCTCACATTATTGAACCTACTTCTATCGGTGACATCTTTAGATGGGAGAATTATTCATTTTAGTGCAGGAATCCCAGCCCCTGGTTTGAATCGTATTTTCTTGATATACTGTATAGATTCAAGAATGATTATGAACGTTTTGAGTTTGACTGCTGTAATTAATAATTTTTTTGTTTGATGGCATGCATTGTGGTAATAATATTCATCGGCCTAAATGTTAGTATTTATCTGTTGTATTTGATATTCGCATAAATATACTTGGTGGTATATAATATGATGGATAGGAAGAGCCTGGATAGTTTGAGGAGCTATGGCTCTGTAAAGTTAATTTTTGTTTATATACTTGAATACAGGTCCTTCTTAGAGGCCCCAAGAATGCTCGGGAAGCTGTGAAACACTTTGGTCCTGCTCCTGGTGTCCCACACAGCCATACCAAGCCCTATGTAAGAGCTAAGGGAAGAAAGTTCGAGAGGGCTAGAGGAAGGAGGAACAGCAGAGGATTTAGAGTTTAAGAAGATTATGTTCTATTTTTTTTTGAAGTGTTCACTTCTGAAATACAAGTTTTTGTTATAGGCGTTGGCGACAGATTTTATTATATTTATGTTCTGATAAGGATTTTCAGTATTGACATCTTGGCTCCCTTGTTTTACATTGACGTGAATTAAAAAACTCGCATTTGATTCCACCTATTGAAAAGCTAGTCATTTTTCGTGACCTGCTTGTTTGTTGATTGAGTGTGCTACCGTTTGAGGGTAAGCCTTTGTCTACTAAAACGAAAAATTGATTTATGTATATTTATTAAGTTCAATGTCGGGTTTGATGTCTTGTGTTAGTAAATGTATTTAAGTTTTAAAAACCTGACCTTGCTCAGCGAGATGCCACAGGAATTTGGTCACTCGTTGTGTTATGTGAGAGGAAATAAAAGAGAGAACAGGCTATGCATACAAAATGCTGTTTATTTATTTTGTAAGACTTATTTATTTCAAGACTTTGTCTGAAGAGGATGTGATTTCTTTGGTATTATTTTCTGAGGAAAAAGTGAAAGAAGTTGTATGGGATTGTGATGGTTCCAAAAGTCCAGGCCCAGACGGTTTTAATTTTAATTTTATTAAAGACTTTTGGGAGGTTGTCAAGGTAGATTTTTTGGCTTTTATCAATGAGTTTCATGCAAATGGAAAATTAGTGAAGGGTTCCAATAGCTCTTTTATCGTTCTAATCCCAAAGATTGAGAGCCCTCAAAGAGTTGAAGACTACAAACCAATTTCCCTAATTGGTTGTATGTATAAGGTGGTGGCAAAATTGTTGGCTAATAGATTGAGGGCAGTAATAAGTAACGTTATTTTAGATTGTCAATCAGCCTTTATACAAGGAAGATCTATTTTTGATGGAGTTGTGGTTGCCAATGAAATTATTGAGGAGATTAGAAGGAAGAAACGTAAATGTTTGCTTTTTAAAGTTGATTTTGAAAAGGCATATGATTCAGTTAATTGGGAGTTCCTTCGATACATGATGGAAAGGATGAGTTTTCCGTTAAAATGGAGGAAGTGGATTGCTGAATGTGTGAGCACTACAATAATTTTTGTCCTATTAAATGGCAGTCCCACGGGTGAGTTTGGGATTGGCAAGGGACTAAGACAAGGGGATCCGCTTGCTCCATGTCTATTTCTTATAGTTGTTGAGGGCCTTAATGCATTGATGAGCAAAGCTGTGGAATGTCATGTGTTTAGTGGCTATTCAGTTGGACACCAGTCAGTTAGTGTGTCTCACCTTCAATATGCAGATGACACTTTAATTATTGGCGGAGCATCTTTACATAATGTTTGGGCGATAAAATCCATCTTACAGATTTTTGAGTTGGTGGCGGGTCTCAAAGTTAATTTTCATAAAAGCAAGCTCTTTGGGTTCAATATTAATATTGAAGTGTTAAACTTGATGGCTCAGTTTCTAAACTGTAAGGTTGGTTCTTTACCTTTTTGCTATTTGGGGTTACCTCTTGGGGCAAATCCACGTTGTATCAAAACTTGGGAGCCCGTGATTTCTAAAGTGAAGAAGAGGTTATCAAAATGGAAGTCTTCAACTTTGTCCTTTGGTGGGCGTAGTGTCCTCTTGAAATCAGTCCTTAATTCCATTCCGATCTACTATCTTTCTTTCTTCAAGGCTCCTCAAGGCATCATTTCTAAACTTGAATCTCTTTTTAAACTCTTTCTTTGGGGAGGGGATGAAAATCATAGGAAAATTGCTTGGGTGGCTTGGCAGGAGGTGTGTAGGGGAAAGGAACATGGTGGGTTGGGAATTCTAGACCTTAGAGCATTTAACCTTGCTCTCCTTGGAAAGTGGAGATGGCGGCTGTTAGTTGAAAAGGGTAGGTTTTGGCATAGGGTTGTCACTTCTATTTATGGGGAGGGTTGTTTTCAGGGAGTTGGTGATAAAGTACAAAGTTCAAAGTGGTGGGTTGATCTGTGGACCATTGATTCTGCTCCATACACATCATTTGATTGGTTCTCTTCTAGGTGTACCAAGGTGGTGGGGGATGGTCGAAATACCTTTTTTTGGAAGGATGGTTGGAGTGGTCAGGGACCACTTTGTAATCCATATAGTAGATTGTTCTCTATAGCTTCTGACAAGGATGTATCGGTCGCAAACATGGTGCTTTGGAGGGATGGAGGTTTTGAGTGGATTTGGTCTTGGTGTAGGAGTCTATTTCAATGGGAATTAGATTTATTATCATAATTAGCTGCTGATTTAGGATCAACTGTCTTAAAGAATGATTGTTGTGATAGGTGGTGTTGGAAGGATTCTAATGATGGGATATATAATGTGAAATCAGCATACAAGGCGGTGATTAATGATGGTATCTACGCAGATTTTCCGCTTCATAAATTTCTCTGGTCTAATTGTGTACCTTCTAAAGTATCAGGTTTTGCTTGGAAAGCCTTACTGAATAAGATACCAAGTAAATGTAACTTAATTAAGCGGAAGGTTCTTAATATTTCTGCTAGTGGATGTGCTTGGTGTGGTGAAGATTTGGAGAATACCTCTCACCTATTATTCGGATGTTATTATGCCTATTCTGTATGGTTATCTATTTTTACTTGGTTTGGTGTTTCAACAGTTTTACACAACTCCTGTCATGAAAATTTTGCTCATTTTATTAGATTTCCTAGATGCAGTGGTAGAGATAGGATGAGGTGGTCTGTGGTTTGGTTAGCCACAATTTGGTCTCTGTGGCTTGCTAGAAATGATGTCATTTTTAAAGACAAGGTGGTGGCAATTAAGGATTTAGTGGAATTAATCAAATTACGTAGTTGGAACTGTATTAAGACCAAAGATAAGTCATTTTTTTACCCATTCTCAGCGTGGTTTTCTTCCCCTGGTGTTTGCCTTAACTTCTGGAATAATGATTCTTTCTGATTCTGTATACATCAGGGTGTTAGTTTTGTATCTGGTTTTCTGATTACTGAACCTGTTTGATTATTAGATGACATTTTATGGTCCTAATTTTGTAATGGTGGTAGACATTACATTCAGGTGATTACCTTTTTGTATGAATTACGTTGGATTTTGTTTAGGTGACTTTGTATTTTGTAATGAGTTAGGGTACTCCTTGTACTCTCATTAATTTATTTTGCTTATAAAAAAAAAACATTTGTGACTATTTATTTGGTTGAATTCAAATACTACGTATCTGATTTGATTATAATAAATGAATTTGATTTATTTGAATAAAAATTTAATGTAATCAATTAAAAGAAAAGTAGTTAACTTTGAAAGCATAAAATGGTAATTTTTTTATTTATAATTTATTTGAATTAAATAATATTATAATATTATTCCTCTTTTTTTTTTATATATATATTTCTTTTAAATAAAATAAACTCATTTTAATATATTTTTTTTATCTGTTTCTGATAACTTATTTTTTTCTCTTCTATTTCTTTGATGGAAGCTTGGTCAATATATATGTTTGATGTTCAAAACATACTCATAGATGATATTCCTTGAAACCCAACTCTTCATCATGGTTGTTGAATGTGCTTCCATCTTTGTTCCACCCTCGCACAACCTTCAGGGGCGGCTTCCCTCTTGGTCATCACTTTCGTTTTAGACATTTCCAACTCAACTCTTGGCTTTATAAAGTAATATTAAATTAATAGTATAATTTATTCAAGTATTTAGACATAAGATAAGTAAACTGTGATGAGAACTACACAATGAAAATAAGCGTGGCACGTTTATTATTACAGTATATTATTATTACACAACTAAAACGAGAAGTCACCAGGGTACAGTATATTATTACACAACATAACTTAAACATGGGAGATTGGCACGGTATCTAGGTTGATTGGATCAGGTTCTGTGTACTTGGAAATCAAGTAGCAGAGAATCCTCCCCATCAAAAATAAGTAATAACAAAATAAAGCATAAATTCAATAATTTAAAACCCTTTCTGCTCTCCTGGTTGATTTGGTTGTGTTGATCAGATCAGAACTTTTTAATAAAATTGTATATGTGATCATTGACTTGGTCTGCTGCTTCTTGATTATTGAAATGAGCTACGTCTTTCAGCACAATCACTTGTTCTAAATTTGGCACATCTTCCTTGAAATCTCCACTGTCAATATAGTTCCTAAAGTATGACGTGGTGTACACCGAGTCCAACTCCCCCGTAATGAATTTTACATGCGTCTGGATTTTCACTCCACTCCATGGTGGCAACAGCTCCCAATTTCTGCAAATATTAAATTTATTATTTGTCTTTTTTATCCAAACATAATCAGTCTGAGAGAAGTTGAAAACAATTATCTCATGAAGAAATTACAAGTTCATATTTCTATAGTAGTTCAAGGCTGGAGTGAAGCCGGTCTTCTGAAATTTGGAGACATAATAATGAAGATCATCTTGTGTGAGCCAAGAAGGCAAGGTATCAGTCATATTCGGATTGAACCCTGTTCCGAACTCTCCCTTGGGAAGGATTGGAGGACCAGTTTGGCGAGAGGTAAGCATGTTGTTGATGACATACTCGGTGCCAACTTGAGCCATCTGAGCCTCCATTTGGCCAGGTTTCTGTGCACAGCCAATGAAAAACTAAAACTAAAAAGCAAAAATAGTGGTTTGCTAAACATATAGAGAATGAGAGAAATAAGAAACCTGAAATCTACAGATATAGTAGTCATCTCCATAGGAAGCACGCAATCCGTCAACTGTTCTAATGTTGGGGTCTCTGCGGAGGAAAGGAACACTGAGGCAGACATAGGCCTTCACTCTTTCGGGGCGGAACAAGGAGAGGTACCAAGCTATGATGGCACCCCAGTCATGAGCCACGAGGTAGACTTGGTCCACACCGAGTGAGTCAATGAGCGCAACGATGTCACCCACTATATGAAAGACAGTGTAGTTGCTTATTGAAGTTGGTGCCTCAGTGTCACCGTAGCCACGGAGATCAGGAGCCACCGCACGGTACCCGAGGGAGCTCAGAGCCTCTATCTGGTAGCGCCAAGAGTACCAAAGCTCGGGGAAGCCGTGGAGGAGCAACACCACAGGGCCCTCTCCTTTCTCTGCTACGTGCATTTTTATGCCATTCACTTCCACTCTTCTGTGTTTGATTCCCGCCAAATCCACCGCCACCGTGTCTTGGTTCATATTCAAACACGCTACTAACAAAACCAACCACACCTTCTTCACACCTTGCTTTGCCATTTCATCTATCATCTATCAATTACCACTTTCATCTCTCCCCTTTATATACACTCCCCTCTCCACTCATTTAATGCTACCTGTCAAATAAATTATATTTGACTAATCTTAATCTTAACTAAAGACCCAACAAGTTATGCAATCTAATTTGCAAACCTCAACATTTCAGCTTATTTAACTTGCTTAGTCAGACTTTAATTTTGAATTTTTACATTTTGGTATCCCCCTAATTTGTACGCAATTTTCAATATTAAGGTGCTACACAATTTCTAATGCAATGAATTCAAAGTCGGTTCAAAGAAATTGACAAAAACAATTTAATAATAAAATAGCATTCAAATTTAAATAATAAATTTGATAAAAAAAAGTTTAAATTAGATATGTCAGACACGACACAGAGACACATATTCGTACGAGAGTACGGAAAAATCAAAAAACATAAAATACATGAATACAAAATAAATATATATATATATATATATAATATGAATAACGACAAAAAGATTATATATTAAAATGTTAATAATTTATTAAGTTTTAAAAATAAATTATTAAGAAACATTAAGTTCTATAATAATTTTTTTAAATCTTAAATTTTTTCTTTATTATTTCTCTTTTTATTAAGATTTTTTTCTTTAAGTAAGGAAAGACAAAAAGGACTATCTTTATTTTTTTTGTTTTATCAAGATTTTTTTTCTTTTTAAAAAATCTCAAATCTTTTCTTTTTTATTTTTATATTTTTATTGAGACTTTTTTTAAAAAAAATTTAAATTCTCTTTTTTTTTGTTTGTTTTTATTGAGGTTTATTCTTCTTTGTTTTTTAAAAAATAAATCTTAAATTCACCTTTCTTTGTTTCTATTTTTATCAAGATTCATTCTTTTTATAAAATAATATTGAATTTGCATCTTGGCATCGAGATAGAGACATATTCATTTGCAGGTGTTTATGATGGAGACACATTAATTTTGTAGGTATCCGTAACGGAGACGTGTCCAATTTGTGTGAACATGGTTCGTCGAAGTGCCAAAGGTGCGTCCGTAACCTGTTCATTTTGAAAGAGTGTAAGATTCAGAAACATACCAGTCTCATGACGTATTCATGCAACATAGAAATTAGGTGTTTAAAGAATTTGACAAAAAAAATTAAATAATAAACATTTATTAGCTAATAAATTTTTAATTAAAGGTAGTTTAGTTGACTATAGTGTTCATCCACACTTCTCGTTCCTTTCTTCATCAAGGTTTTGACCTTACCAATTTCGTTAAAGGTGAGAATATCCTTCTTTTTCTTATTTTCATTTTTTTTTACATGATTTTGATTTTCTTCTTAGATCATTTTGGATCTTAAGAAACTCAGTTTAGAAAATCAAGGTTCCAGCATAAGTCGAAAATATCAAGTTCCATTTCTCTTTAGCACTATTTCAATATTATTTCTAACTGCTTCAAATAAGCTTTTTTTATTATTTATTATTATTATTATTATTATTATTATTATTTTTTTTAAATGAGACACACCGCGTTTTAATTTTTAAGTGATCTTTTATATATTTATTTATCTAAATAATGCGTAAAATCCCTTACAAAAGATAAAACCAATTGTGAAAAAATAATATCCTAAATTTAGAGAAAAAAAAATGGACTGAGAAATTATATTTTCAAAATTTTAATAAAAAAGACAAAAGATATATTATATACGTAATATAGAAACGAAGGATAATTAGCTAGCACTTATATAATTGATGGGATATGTATTAGTTTATTTTTTCTCTCTCTTTTTTCAGTTTAGCTAATAATTTTATTTTAAGGGAGGTAAGTAATTTCAAAAACTAAAAAAGAGATATGTAGGTTCCAGAGATGTGAGTACAATTTTTCCCTATTGAAATAACATATATTTAAATATTATTATAGCTATTTTTAGAGTGTTTTCTTAAGATTTAAAATATTTAATCTAGTAAAATTTGGAAAACAAATTATGAGTAATTGAAATAAAGTTATATTAATTATTTTGATAACGTAGGAAAGAGAGAGAAAGAGAAACATGATTCGCTTGACGAAAGAGGGAAAGAGAAGATATCGTATAGTTCCTCCTGGATAGTGTGTATGCCTGAGTCCAGGATCCCATAGCAGCTAGCTAGTATAATGAGATTAAACGTGACACATTTATTGAGTAGTTGGAGTACAAACTAAAATGAAAAGTTACGAGGGTAGTTCCACGTATCAATCCCTTCTGCATGGAGATGGGATCCGAAGTGGTGTTCTATAGCAGCTACCTTGCCCCTACCCCTACAATCTATCTCCCCAGGAACCAATCTATTACTAACTGACTGGGGATAGTTGCCCCACTAATTTCTTTATCCCTCGATCGGTACGTAATCAAAATAATCATTTATGAAAAAAAATTAATTATAACCACAATTAACCAATTTTATTATAATTGATTATTTTAAAAAAATATTATAAAATTAACCATATACATTAAATGATTATTAACCATAAATATTTTTTATAATTGATTTTATTTTATTATAACTAGTTTTAATTTTAAAAACTAGTCATATATTATAATCAATTATTTATATAACACTGTATATTTTTTTATTAATTATTATTTTTTGGTAATAATTGTGTATTTTGAAGCTCTGAGATATGGTGTTGAAAAACCCTGAAAATTAAGGAACTTCTGAAGAGTTTTTTAGGTATTTTAGAATGTTTTTCTCGATAAATATCCAGTTTGATCTTCAGAGAAAGTAGTATATATAAGGTTTATTTTTAGAATTGAATTTTACAAGTTTAGTTTTTAAGAGTCCTAAAGCGATTAGTCAAAGTTAAATGCTTTGAAATTCAAAAGTTTCCCTTCTTCTTTCTAGGCTACCCAAAAGTATAGGTGATCAGTATTGATCCATGATGGGTGTTGATTTGAAGTCAGACAATTAAGAATCAAAGTAGTGTAGGCACAGAACTTGTGGTCACTTGAAGTTCTCCTCCTTCCCTTCTTCTTCATTCTCTTTTAGCATGAAGTCAAGATAAGAAAAGTTAAGAACGACTTGTTAATTGTTTTGTTGGGGTTTCATGTTGATTTTTTTTTATTATCAAAATGTTGTCATTTTGACTAGATTCGGATTGAATGTTTGATAATGATTAAGTTTTGGTGCTTTTGAGCATGTAAAGAAAGATATTGATGATTTTTGAACGATATTTGGTAATTGCATGTTGTTATTTGGATGAGAAATGAACTACATGTGATGTAGATCGGTGGATTTTAGTGTTGCATGCTTGGATCTTTTGTTTTTCAGGTGATTCGAATCAATTCAAGCAATTTTCAAGTGCATAACTCATATTTGTGTCAGTCCATTAAGATGACAAGCGTTGCCTCAACATTAATGTATAACATTCAATACAATTAATGTAACATTATATAAAAATTAATTATAATAAAACTTAATATAAGTATATTAAAATATATTTTGAGATTTTATTGTTTTATATTTTTGACGTAAATTTAAAAATTTAAATTATATGAAAAAATAGATACCCTATATATTGATTAAATATTTTTGATTTTTTTTGGTACATAAATATTTAAGAATGTAAGTACTATTTGATAGTATATAACTATATAAAAAGATTATCATAGCTGAATTTCTTAATCTCCTAAAATCCACGGTCCTTAGCTTCCAATTTTCTATTTGTCATAAATTTGCTCAATTGGTCAATGTTGATTGTGTTAGATTCATTGATCTAACATTCATCTTGTATGGAAATAATTATATATTAAAGACATTTAAGATCCTGTAAAATTAAAGTCATATTTTATATATATATATATATGAAAGGATATGAAGTCTTAATGATGTATAGGTATATAAAAGAATATAAAATTTTTAATATATAGTAATTAAAGAGTAAATATATTTTTTATTAGTAAAAAATAAAAATATTAAAAAATAATTTTATTGTTGTTTACAAATTAGATCTTCAATATTATTTTTTGACATCTTATTATTAAAAAAAGATAAATAAATAATTAAAAGATGAGAGTTGCTACGATACCCTTAAAGATTGAAGGATTTCAATACATTCTTTTTCAATACATATTGATATAGAAGGTTAAACAATATTGTTTATTTATCATCATTAATTCAGCAATAGCTAGATAAATAACTAAGGAGTTCTCTGTCAAGAAAATATATGTTGCAAGATTGAAAATTTATTTAGCGGGTATCATTTGCATTATATATATTACACAAGCAGGCAGGTTGAATTCGTTTCGGGATCACATCAAAACTTCTTTATAAAATCGTATATGTGAGCATTGATTTCCTCGGCGGCTTCTTGATTGTTGAAATGAGCCACACCTTTCTGCACAATCACTTCTTCCAAATTGGGCACATCTTGCTTGAAACCTCCACCATGGATATACTCCTTCAGGCCTAGCGAGGTGTATACGGTGTCCAACTCACCTGTTATATATTTTACTGGCACTTTGATTTGCACTCCACTCCATGGCGCCGTCAACTCCCAATTTCTGAAAATTAAATTTATAACAAATTAATTATAAGAGCAGTGGAAAAGAACTATTATTATTATCTCGGAGAGTGAAGAAATTACGAGTTGAAATTTCTGTAGTAGTTCATGGCTCCAGTGAAGCCGGTTTTGTCGAATTTGGAGACAAAATAAGCAAGATCATCTTCCGTGAGCCAAGGAGGCAAGGTTTGAGGCATTTCGGGATTGAACTCAAACCTTCCCTTGGGAAGGATTGGAGGACCAGGCTTGCGAGTTGTAATGATGTTCTTGATGACATACTCAGTGCCAACTTGAGCCATCTGAGCCTCTATTTCTCCTGGTTCCTGTCACACGGTTTCTCTTATAAATATTCATTAATTAAGGCAATAAAAAAGGGGATATGCCGATCTGGAAACAACCTTTGGCCAGGGCGCTCAGATGAAGACGGTGGTTGTTCGGTATCTGGTGGTCAACGCGCAGTCATCCTATAGTATATTGATCGACAGGCCGACCCTGAACAAGCTAGGAGCGGTGGTGTCTACTTCCCACCTGAAGGTGAAGTATCCGCAGCCGAATGGTACTGTGGGCACTCTCCGAGTGGACCAGGAGGTGGCTCGGAAATGCTATGGCGACAGTTTGAAGGCACGAAGACGACTGTATACAGAACAGGTGGAGCAGGAGGTCCACTCCATCGACCTAGACCCCAGAGTGAGCCATTTTGATCGCCGACCAGCCCTTGCGGAAGACATTAAGGAGGTGACGTTGATGGAGGGAAAGAAGGTGAAGGTTGGTACATCCCTCAGTCAAGAGGATGCCGAGAAATTGGTTGAAGTGTTAAAGGCAAACGTGTCAGCATTCGCGTGGCACGTCAAAGATATGCCAGGAGTGGACCCCGATTTCATGTGCCACAAGCTAGCCATCGATCCACGCAAAGCCCGTCATCCAAAAGAGGAGGAAGTTTGGTGAGGACAAGCGCAAAGCCATTGCTGAAGAAACCGACAAGTTGCTAACAGCAGGATTCGTCCGAGAAATACAATACCCGACTTGGCTTGCAAATGTTGTGATGGTACGAAAAAGCAGCGGAAAATGGAGAATGTGCACAGATTTCAAGGCCTTCACTTTCTCAGGACGAAACATGCAGAGATACCAGCCAATGACGGCACCCCAGTCATGAGCCACAAGGAACACTTGCTCCACACCCAAAGAGTCAATAAGCGCAACCAAGTCACCCACTATGTGAAAGCAGGTGTAGCTACTGATCGAAGGTGGTGCCTCCGTGTCACCGTAGCCACGCAGATCTGGAGCCACGGCACGGTATCCTAGGGAACTGAGAGCGAGGATCTGGTGGCGCCATGAGTACCAGAGCTCAGGGAAGCCATGCAAGAACAACACCACAGGGCCTTCTCCTTTCTCTGCTACGTGCATTTTGATGCCATTCACTTGCACTCTTCTGTGCACTATGCCTTCCATCTGTGTCTTTCTTCTTCTCTTGGGAAGTGCGGTGTTGGTTTAATACGGTGGTTCTCCTCAAAGTTCAAACCAGAACACCAATGATTATCATTCAATTAATACGAGCCATCAATTTATATGATACTTTTGGGGGATGACAAGAAACTTAACTACGCGCCAGCCTGTCGCTTGTTGCCCGTCTCTACAAAAAAATGGAATTTTGGTCCTCATCTCCAATCCTCTCTCAATTTAATTTTATAAAAATTATTTAAAAAATTACATTAATTATATTATAAAATTAATTTATATTATTATAATATTATTACAAAATTAATATGGTTTCTTAAATATTAAATAATATTGTAATAATTTTAATTAATTTTATAATATTATAATTAATGTAATTTTTTAAATAATTTTTATAAGATTAAAATTTAAATTATGTTTATTATTATTACGGGAGAGAGGGTGGTGAAAGAAGATTGGAGGATGAGGATCCAAGCTTATTGCGTACGTGTACTGCTGTTCACATGAAGAGAAATTCCAAAATAGGAAAGCAACGTGTCAGAACATGATGCAAATTTAAAAGAAAATAGTAACATAGATCCACACTGCTGACCCAAGCCAAGCCTAATGATTTATATTTTATAGCCACTATTCTCTGCTTGAATTTACGTCTTCTCTGACGCAATTGAGAGATGCTTTTTCATTCTTTTATTTTAGCTTGACAACCACCCGGCTGCGATTTCAGGTTTTTTAATTTAATCATTTTATCTGTTGACGCATGCAATGAAATATGGATACTGGCAGCTTCAGCCTTCAGATTCATTTGTCTCTCACACCAACCCAAGTCAACAAAATTATGCTGCTATACAAAAAGCAGTGCATGCGGCGTCAAAAAAACACTAATTAAATTTAAAATATCAAAACGCAGCACTTGACTGCATCAAAGTTAAAACAGTATCTACTATCTAGTAGTGTTAAGGGCTAAAATAAAAGTGTAATCTGCTACACAACCGTCTCAACGCATGTGTGTATATAGTGATGGTTTATATTTTCTGGTGTATCTCAAACTGGAAACATATTTCAAAACAGTCTCATTCCGAGAAAAACTTTCAGTAAAAGCATCGATTTGGTTAATTAAGAGCCTCATTGGACGCGTCCCTTAATTGTAACTTGTGGCCTATAGTTTTCATCACGATTTTTTTTAAGGAGCAAAAATTTCATAAACATCCATCTAGATTAGATTGTGCAAACACTACTTTTTCTATTCATGTGATTTTTTTTAATTATTTTAAAAATACTACATTAATTTCTTTTTAATTATTTAAAAAAATCACGTTATAACCTTTTGTAAATATATATATATATATATATATATATATATATATATATTGCAGATATTATAAAAGTAATTAAGGAGAATCAGTTTAATTTTATAAAATTTTGATTTACTATTTTTTTACATTTGTTAATTGCTATGTGTCGGCCAGGAATTTCGCTAATTTAACATAGATTTCGGGTTATGGACCAAATGAGCTGACTCATTATCCACTTAATCTTCTAGAATACGAAAAGTAAAATAAATTAAATTTATATAATAGATTAACTTTTTGGTGTGTTCTTGGGATGGACATAGTTTTATTAAATATTTTATTAAGCTGTTATTTTACTATCTTGGATTAGAAAGAATAAGATAAAACTATTCCTATTTCCTAAGAAAACAGATCACGAGAGAAATAAGATAATGAAAGATAATTATGATAAATTATTACAGAGCTGATAATACAAGTAAATTGTATAAATAAGAGACAATAGCCCAATTTAGGTTTCAGATTTTTAATCACTGCTCTTTATTGGCCGAACAATTATAGTTAATTTATTTTAATTATTTAATTTTTTATATTTTAAAAAAGTAAATGAATAATGGGTCAAATCGTTTGGCCCAGAACCCACTAAAAGCTGTGTTAAATTAGCAAAATTCCAAGAACATAGACCCGGGCCGGCACATCGGAATTATAAAAATGTAATTAGGAACATCTTAAAAAATTATAATAATCCTAATGAAAACTGTAGGCCACAACGTCACACGTTGCAATTTAGCCAAAATAACAAACGATAGTACATATATATAAAAAAACAATATAATAATAGCTAAAAATAAATAAAGTGTATGAATTGCATAAAAATAAATAAATGTTATTTAAATAAACTTTAATATACATAGAACAATAACTATGACTAATATGAATAAAGGGACAAATTATTTTCTGTATTTAATGGAATGGGATTAATTAATATTGGACGCACACTCTAAGTTGGGTTCCTTGGATAATGGTTCAAGGTTGGGAATTGGAGCTTCAAAAACTAAAGGTATTGGGCCTTTAGAAAAACAACTATCATGAATAATTTTATCTAGGACAAAAGGAAAATTTTCTTCATGAAAGGTAACATTTCTAGAAACAAAAATCTCGTGTCTATGTTCAAAATGACAAATCCCTTAGTCTGATTCTGAAATCCCAAGAATGCTCTATGTCGTGAACGTGGGTTAAACTTGTGACGTTGGGCCAAAGGTGTGGATGCATATATCAGACAACCAAAGACTTAAGTTTTGAAAATCTAGATTTTGCTTGTGAACAAGTTCAAAAGGAATTTTATTCCAATTAAGAGCAGAAGGGACACAATTTTATTAAATAGACTGCATATAGGATGGTATAAGATCAAAAATCTTTACAAAGATGTGATTGAAATATGAGAGCCTTTGTTACATTGAGAATATGTTATTGTTTTCTCTCAATTCTCCCATTTTGTTAAGGTGTGGTAATAGTAATACAACTAGTTCCATGAATTATACCATTGGATGCATAAAAATCTTTCAAAAAAGATTCAGGCTCATCACGTTGGTGTGCTTGACCTACATGTCTAGTTGATATTTGAATCACTATTGATTGATGATAAATTTGAAAAAAAAAAAATATATTTTTAAGTGAGATTTTATGAAAAAAAATCTAATTATAAGTAGCATAAAAACTTGACTGTGAGGACCCCTTTTTCTTTTCCTTCCCGACTCATTCCAGCTCTCAATTTTTTTTCTCATTTTCCCTTTTACTCACTCTCACTCTCTCCTTCATCTTGCTACTGACTTTCTCTCCCTGTGGTGACCTCAAATTGAAGGTGCTAATCAAGCTTAGGCAAGAGTTAGTTGCGGATTTCCTCATTTCTCCGTTCGCTTTCAAGTTCTCTTTTTCTTCAATCTCCGTGGACCCGAAGCTCGGATTTTCTTCAGTCCGAGGTAAGGGAAGCTAGTTTTTCTTAGTAGATTTTGTGGGAAATGAGTCCTTAAACTCATGATGTGGTTGATCCCTTGAAGATTGATGGCTGTATGTGATGAAAATGGTTTTTTTGGGTTTTGATGAAAAAATTTGGGGTTTTTGGTGATTCTTGGTTGCATGTTGGAAACAATTTGGTTTTCATGTGGTTGGATGAGAATAGGGTGGTTTGGGTGGAATGCATGTGCTTGGATTTCTTGTTTTTGCAGGATGGTTATTCAACAATGGTGGGAGGGATTGGGGTTACTGTCATAGGTGCTGAGCGCTTTGGGGGCAGAGAGCCCCTGGAACCAATCCGCTGAGCGGTTTTAAACCGCTGAGCGCTTTGGGGGCAGAGAGCCCCTGGAACCAATCCGCTGAGCGGTTTTAAACCGCTGAGCGCTTTGGGGGCAGAGAGCCCCCTGGAGCACTTCTGGAGGCAAAGCGCTGAGCGCCTTGTAGGTGCTGAGCGCCTTGGTGCTTTCAGAATTGGACGTTGCAGTCTTCATGAAAGTTGTAGCCTTGGATGTTAGCTTTCCAATGGAGCTGGAATCACTCAAAAAGGAGTTTTAGAACTCTAGATATGGCTGTTTTAGTGAAGAGAGGTTGAGCTGTCAACTTTGTTTATAGCTGCTGCGGTTTTTATCATTTTTAACAAGGTAGATGAAGGAATTTGGACTTGGTGTCTTAATGAGAGTTGTAGGAAATTTGATTATCTTTCATATGAGATAAGGATGAGCATGGTAGGAGTAGTATAACTCCCGATGCGCTGTTTGTTGTGATGGTTGCCATTTCACATTTAGTGATTTGGTTAAGTTGAAAGTTGTTTTAGGTGCTTAGGTGTACTCTTGTTGTTTGGGTGAGTAATTGGACAAGATAGATGAGTTGTAAATAAGATGGTTGGGTCGTGTTAGGTGTATGTTGCTATAAGATGCTTAGATGTGCTGTAAGACGATAGGTTGTGCTGATTAATGTTGCCAATGCTGTGTGATGAAAAGTTGTGTTGTGCGGTATGTTGTTAATGATGTAACGCTGAGTTGTGCTATGTGATGCTAATGCTAAACTTTATTATTTGAGTCGAGCTGAATTATAGGCTGATCATTGTTGAATTTTGCTGTGATTGCTGAGCTGAGATGTAATTGATAAATAAGTTGTGCTGACTAGTTGTAAATGTTGAAAGATGATGTTAAGCTGTAATAGATGTGTCTTGCTATGCTGAGCTGGGCTGTTATTGATAATTTTAAATGCTGATTTATAATATGGCTATGCTCAAGAATGATGAGCTGAGTTATGAGTAGTAAGCTGTGTTGAGTACTACTTGGCTGTGCTGTATGCTGATTTTGCTGTGCTGTTTATTGCTGAGCTATATGCTGTGTTTAGCCACTAGTGTGGTGCTGTTATAGCCGCTATGTCGGTGCTGTTAGCCACTATCGTGGTGCTGTAATAACCGCTAGCTGGTGCTGATGTGTGCCTAGTTGAAAGGCCATTATAACCACTTGAGGTGGTGCTGATGTTGCCGCTAGGCGGTGCTGTTATAACCACTTGAGGTGGTGCTGTTGTTGCTGTTCTACAGTGTTGATGTAGCCACATCGTGGTGCTGGTATTGATGTGTGATATAAGCTATGCAGATGAGCTGATACTCATAATGATGAAATTTAATTACATTGCTATGTATCTATTTGTATGCTGATTTTTAATTACACTAGCTTACCCTTTCACTGTTTTTCCATGGTGTTTGGACTGCGATGATCATACTATGTATGGGAGCAGAACAGGAATATGTGGGCGTCTAGTGGTGAGTCTCCGGCGGACCGTGGAGCTGTTTTGCTTGTGTGGATATTTTGCTGGTAGCTACTTGGGATAGTAGCATTTGGTTGTAATTT